TTGCTTATTTGAAAAAGCAATATCCAAATGCTTTCATCACTCAAATGTCCTTTTGAAAATATTGTCCATGGTGGTTATTACCTGGACAATGCTGTCAATTTCTGTAGTCTGCAGAAAATTTTCCCTCAGATAGAAAAGTAGGACATTGGGCTCCTATCTCAAAAAAATCAACCAATTTCCCTGCCACTAGATATATTTTTCACCCAGACAACACTTACATTAAAGAGGAAATAGCCGTCAACAATTCAAAGCCAAATAGAAATCAACGTCGCACAAAGAGGAGCCACGAACTTAATGGCTTTCTGAGAAAATACAGCTGAGAAAGTTGGAGTGATTCTGGTTCTTCCCTTCTAATACTTAAGACAGTTTCTCCCAGAAGCTATCACTAGAAGGCCCCAGACCAGCATAATTCTCCTGAAGTGTGGCAGAAGGGCAACCCACCCAAGTGCTTCCCACACACCAGGAGAGCTGCTTTCTTGGTCAACAGAAAATTGAACCCTTCAGTAAAATGCAATAATGGAATGGCATAGCAGCAACTTTTCCTTCCACAGAGCCCTAGAATATGTCGTGGGACTGATAAGTTTTCCTGCTGTGCTGCTGGGGCATGGGCTCCTTCAAACACTAGGTTTTGCTCCTGTATCAGGAAGGCTGGTCTTGGGTAGAAAGATCAGGAAATGCAGTGGTGTTGGTGAAATTTTAGTACCACCTCCAAGAACTGGCCTTAACAGAAAGCACTGACCAGCCACTGTCAGGTAGTTAATGTACTTCTCTTTTCAGGAATAAGCTCAAACTATACTATTTTCAGTGGGCAGTGGCTTAATTTTCAAAAGATGTAAAGTGCCCATACCTAGTCCAAAGGATAGACACAGATGGTCTCTCTCCTGCTGCTTTTCCCTCTCAACTTTCTCAGTTCTTAACAGCCACCTTCACGCTGAGGCAAATTCACCCAAACGGTCTGGCTTCTAGTAGTGCAGAAGTAGTATTCCATATATATTAATCACTCTTTAATCTCTATTAAACAACTGGAGTAGTATTCACATTTTAAGGACACTCTAAATTCGAAGGAATGACTGACTCAAAAATTTTTAAGAACAAAGATTTTCAATTCTTACCCATATTGTTTTAAAAAGTAACTAGATTGTTAGCAATTTGAATTCCTAGCAGAACTGGTGGGACCTAAATTGGAGGGTGAGGAGCCTCTTTTCATGAAAACAGAACTGTGAATGTGTGACTGATCACAATGACCTCATTCAACTCCTGACCAGATTCTCTGGACTCAATTTCTGAGTAACTTTTTTGTTGACATGCCCAGGGAGCACTCATTAGATTCAGTCCTCAACTCTAAAGATGGCCACAGGTGAGCCACCAAGAGGACACCTTTGCTTTCTGCTCCGAGGTGCTCTCCCTGTGTGCCCTGGCCTATCCTTCAGTTTGATCCACTGAAAAGAATGCAATTGAGGACTCCCTTTCTTCAGAACCAGAAATCACATTTTCCTAGTGTATCCAGCGTGTGCTTCAATTCGGTTGAAATGCTGTTGTCCTGTTACCCCCATTCTATCGTACTGAAAACATCCTGGAATCAGTGCAGAACTGACAGGAGAATAAAGATTGCAGGGCCTTTTTTAAATTTTTAAACAAGTATTGATACACCATAGGTTCTTCTCCTAACAAATTGAGACTTTTAAATCTATTATACACAAAATTCAATAGACAGAAAATTTCTCTGCCTTTCTTTTTTAAAAATGGTTTCCTTCTTCCCTGCATTTATGGCTGGAGTTAGCCCTGTGGTGATTTTTGAGTACGCTGGCTAATATGCTTCAGAAGGTTACTTTGTAGACACATTTCTAATTAACTTCCTAATGCAGTACTAAATAAGCTTCCCGTTTGAAACAGAACAGACTCGTCTCTCAATAAACACAAAAACACTCAAAATCCTCAACCTAGATCAGGCATCCAAAGAAACTTGGGCCAAGAAACATTTTGAGAACATTCACTCAAATACAGGCAGAAGAGTGTGACTTAAGAATAGAGCATTGACCTGCTGGATAGAGAATTGTTTTTCATGGAAAAAAAGAAAAATCCCCAATTTGGGAACATTTAAGGTATTTCTCTATAAGCAGAAGCAGGAATACTTTTGTATAAGAAATACCTACACAAATCTTGTTCCCCTGAACACAATGTGGCAATCACTCCTTGGAAAACATAACTGGGATTCCAGAGGCTTAAAGGGAAAGATACACTGTGCTATCAGCTAAGAGGCAATGCATAAATAGAGCACCCTGTCACTTAACTTGTGGTGTGAGCTCATAAAGACATAAAATTACTCATTAAACTCCTTCTTGATTTATGGCAATTCAAGGAGAAAAAAATAAAATAATGGTTTTGCCACTCCTGCCTTCTTGGAGTGTAACTTGAAGCAGCTCCTGACCAACTGCATGCATCTATTGCAGTTTCTTGCAAAGATCCAGGATGTTCTAACATACAGTTATAAATAAATGATAAATTCAGTCACAGTATATGGTGTTTAATAAAATAGATGGAGAAAGAAGCTTCAGCCATTTCAGGTCTATCTCATTGCCCTAGAGTTTTAATGAAGGCTCTCCACTTCCTTACCTGCCTAGAACCAACCTGTCCCGACTGCCTGATCACCATTTTAAGTTTATTTCCATGGTAAAAACCAGCTCCCTGCTCTTCCAGGAAAATATCTTGGAATTCTGAGGGCAAATAACCATAGGATTACAATCCCTGGAAATACTACCTTGGGTCACAGCTACCAGCCTTTTGCTTTTGTGGTACCCTGTGGTTTCTAATCCCCGACATACAAAACAACTTTAGATCGGAGAGAAAAGAATGGACTTCTAAATCGCCTTCTCTATTTTATTGTTCACATTTCGTATTGTTTTGAGTGAAACTGGAAAAATTGTCTCCTTTCTCCGTATTGCCAAAAGGCATTCAGGTAATGAAGTCTGTAACTAAACGGTAATTGAATCAGCATAATTTGCACACTGAATGGTTTTCAAATGCTCCCAGTTTACAATTAAAGGAGAATTAATGCGCTTGTTGTTGAGAACGCAGCGCATTAGAATAAATCCAGCACTGTTGTTGTAATGAGTGGAAAACGGTTTAACTGCCAACAAACACATTTAAAATTTAACACAACGTATTGATTTCACTTCTGCTTTTGATAGATTATTTTCCAGACTATCGAAATACTTGCTCCAAGCAATAAACTGCACCACAGCCGCGAGCCTTTGCCGGGTGTGAGCACAGTCCAAGGACATAAAAATAGTCTTGAGGTTCAGGCCATGCGTAAAGGTATGCAGAGGAAAGGGGCAGGAGGGTTTCCATGGTCAAGGGAATCGTTAATATCCCTCCTCTGTAGCTTTCATTTTGCGGTCCCTCCCCCTTCTTTCAATAAGCAATTTCTGTATTTCCTCTAGCCAAACTTTCTGCCCTTCGTCTTTGGGCTCTCAATGTCAGTGGGTAGACTGGACACGGGGCGGGGGGGAGGCAAGAATGACTGAAGATGGGAAATGTTAAGGACAATTTTTGCATTCTGTCTGCGTTCCAACCGGGGAACACACAGACTTCGGTGACAGTCAGAAAGCCTGTTCTTTTGGATTGGCTGCCCTGGCTTTCACCTGTTTACCCCAAGGTGTCCTGTAGGCGAGGACACTGACGCGCAGCGCCCTCTGGCGTCCGCGGCTGCGATAGTCAGGCGATAAAGATGCAAAGACGGGCGTCACTGAGGGTTCTTGGATTGAAGCTGAAACCCGTGAAAGGCACACACCCTCACATACATATTCACACACGCGTATACATACACACTCATTAACATAGAGTTCACACAACTAGCAGCCCCGCAGTCACATGCACCAGGGCAACAGCTGGGAAACGCTCTCATCTGAAGGGTTGGCAGCACTTTTGCTCCTGGGCTTGTGGGTTCTGAAGCCCTTGGGATTGAGGGACGGCACCGCCCCCCCCCATCCCATCCTGTTCTTCCAGTCCCGCCCGTTAGAGAGCTCGGGCTGCCTAGCCCAGCGTTCCTCGTCCCTAGGCAAAACACACTGGGCCCTCCGTGCGCGTTTGTGGCTCAGAAATAAGCTATGGGGTGTCAGCGCTCTGAACACAACTTCACCAGCAGGGTGCGAGTGGCCCTGGCCCTCCCTGAAGCCAGACACAAGAAAATTGCTCTCTCCGTCTTGGCTCCACGCGGTGCCCACAGCTACCAATTCGCCTCCATCCCCTGTTCCAACAGTGTGCAAATTCCAGACCCCCCAAACTCCACTCCAGAAAGACTCAGGCAGTGACTTTGCTTACTATTTTCCTGACAATAAGGTCTGCCATTCCCTAGTAAGGGGTTCAGCCCTGGAACTGCGGTTGGGTTATTTTGTGGAAAGAAGAGATTGGGAGGAGAGGGAGGAGAGCCGCTGCATGTTAGCCCTGACCTAACTCTTATCTAATCGTTTGTGGTGCTCTTATCTGATAAACTTGTCCTCTGTGAAGCCTGCAAGTGAACAAAGTTACCTTCACTTCTTTGTGTCATATCTCCAAACTGGGGGACTAGGTGGGTGGATTCACTTTCAAAGTCAGAGACCCAGGCAGATTCGTGCTCCTCACTCTCTACCTCCATTTCCTTTCGTTTAAACTCTGTGGATGAACTAATGAGAGTTCCACGTATATTCAACCCTTTCTTTTGCCATCTCTCCCCATAAAGCATCCCGTCCCACAATCTCCTCGGTTTCCGGATGTCTAGGGCCACCTAGATTCTTTTCAGAATCACGTACAGGAGATGGGGGACTGGAGCAAGAAATGAGGGTGGGAAACCCGGAAAATCCCGCAGGGATCCAAAGACCAGCTTGCCAAAGTTGTTCCAACACGGTCGCTAAGAACGCTGCTCTCGCTGCACTGGCGGTCTCACCCTCCTCCCGCGCGCCCCTGGTTTTCTGGCCTCGCGACCAGGGTGGGATTGCGGGGGCGCCGGGTCCGCGGCGACTTACCAAGTAGACGGCGGGCTGCAGGAGGAGAAGCACGTACCAGCACGCAGCCTGCATCCTCCCGCGTCTCAAACTTCCTCCGCGGTGCTTTCGCTGAGTCTTTGTTCCTTCAAAAACATAGATCCACCTGACATCCACTTTACAGAGCAAGGAGCGCTCTCAGCAGCCTAGATACAAATGAAATTAGACATCCCATGACCACGCGGGCAAGGTTAGGCTTGGCGACCAAGCGAGGAAAGGGGGTCGTGGAGGGGAGGGGTGGACCAAAAACCGGGAGCGGGAGGGGGGCAGGAAAAATTGGAAAGCGAGTAAATCCAGCGCCTGAAACCAGCGAGCGCTCGGTCCGCAGGCAGGCAAGCAGGAGGGTAGGAGGATGAGGGGTTCCTTGCGCCCTGCACTCCTCGCGTGCGAATTCCCGGGTGGTGGAGACAGGAGGTGGTGGGGCACACAGAACCGCGTGCGGACTGGTTCCGAGCCCAAGTGTTTCTGGCAGCGAGATCTGTCCTAGTGTTTGATGGCCGGGCGGCTCGGACTTAAAGGCGGCGGCTGGTTCTTCGCCAGCCCTGACCGTGCTCACACACGTACACACCAGCAGAGAGAGATGGAGAGAGAAAGAGAGAGGAAAGCGAGCTGGAGAGACTGGGTGAGGGAGGCGCGGGAAGAGGAAGGGGTAGGTAGAGCTGACCGGGATTAGGTGCTGGATATCTTCACACGTTCCGTGGAGTGGGGGTGGGGAAAGGGAATGCAATTTGCATACAGTAAAGCCGGGCTCAGTTTACCCATTCGAGTCCCCTGCACAGAAATACACGCGCCTACAAGCACATCTTTGGCACTACTTTTTTTCAAGCCAAGAGGCAGAGTCAGTCGCTAACTTCTAGAGCGGAAGCCTGCCCGGGTCCGTGAGGTCACCCGCCAGGCGCACTCTGTCCCCCAACCAGGGGCCCTCCTGCCAACCCTTTCCCGGTGTCCCACACCCCGCTCCAAGATACCCTCTCCCGGACTGTAAAGGCGAAGTGTACGTACCGCACAGGACTAGGGGCGAAACCGGCGAGCAGGGACCGCTCTGGGTAGGCTCCATGGAGGAGCTACTCGGGCCTGGCGTCTCCGCCGCCCCGGACATGCCCTCCCTGGCGCTTCATCTCCATGCTTGGGCGCGGACCGGTCCCGCTGCCTCGTCCAGCCTCGGCGGAGTCGGCGTCTCAGCGCCCGGGTCGCGCTCAGGCTTGGTTCCGTGGGAGCCTAGGCTTGGCACAGTTGGATTCACGGTGCAGGAAACTTATGAGGCAAGAGAGGGAGGGGGAAGCGGAGGAGAAAAGAGAGGAAGAGAGAAAGGGAGGGAGTAAGAGAGGGAGGGAGAGAAGCGAATGCGCTGGACGGACTGGGACCGCCAGCTCTGGCTCTGGGACGAGCAGTCCCGGGCTCCTTGCTTTCCGAGGCTGCCGAAGGAAGGTAGAAATGACTTAAGGGGAGGAGACTGGGCAAATCCTAAGGACTCGAACTCGAGAGATAAAACACTGGTCTTTCAGAGAAAAAAACCACACGACAAGCGCTAACGGTCTGAGTTTCTGAGGAAGGGGTGGGGTGGCAAGACCTGGAGGTTCCTGGCGCACCGAGCAGCTGCATGCCTACCGCAACATTGAGAAGCCGGGGAGCCACTCCGGAGAGGAGTCTCGGGCCCTGTGCATGGTCCTGCCCGGCCACTGGGGGACGCGCTGGAGCACGCCGGGGTTCGGGACGCCGACGAGGTGGTGCTTTCTCCGTAGGTCTGCCGCTTGCGGCGCCTACCTTCCCGACACGGGCAATTACATTGGCACGTGGGTGAATGATTCCTCAGAGACTAATTAATACCCCGAATAAATAGATCCCGCTCCCGGGCTCTCAGTGGGCCAGGCCCGCAAAGAGAAGTGGCTTCTGCGGTGTCTCTGGTGGCCGCAGAGCCCAGTCCCCCGGGGGCATGAGGAGGACTGCGAACGCCAGAGGAGTGGTGGGGAGCGTAGTGGGGCGATGCGCAGGGCAGGAATAGGCGCAGAAGGGTGCAGGGCTCCCTGGCCCGCCTCGAGCGCGGAATCGGGGCGCCGCGGACCTGTGGATGCGGGGCCCGATGCGGGGGCGCTGCGGACCTCCAGCCATTAAGTGCGCGACAGCCGAGAGGACTGGGCGACCTTGCGCGAACGTTCGACTCCTCGCCGCGCGCTGGGCCATACGAGAGGAGTGGGGTGGAGGGGGAACGCGGATAGAGGCTTTGAGCCTTTGCCACCTCCTCGTTTCTGACACCTTCTACCAACCAGCGTCTCCCACTCTCGGCTCTTTGCTTTGACTCTCGCTGTCTTTTCTCTATTTCTCCCTTGCTCTCTCTCAGTATCTTTCTCATTCTGTCTCCTTTCTTTCTTGTGCTCTGTGCCTGAGCTCCTTGTGCTCTGTTCTTCGGCTTTATCTTTCTACTTCTCTTTCAGGAATTCCGACTCTCCATCTCTGTATTTCTCTGTCTCTACCTCACCCCCTATTCTTCTCAAACCTTGTCCTTTTCTTTTCCCCTTCACTCCCTCCAGCACACAACCCTCAAACCAGCTTCATCCTTATCTGATGAGATACCGAGACCAGGCCCTTCTAGTGCTGGCCGTGCTGCCAGCACCTCCTCAGGGTGCCCTGACTCAGTCAGCAAGTCTGAGCACGGCTGAAAGCATTTTTCTTGCCCCCACTTCGTTGGTTACTTCTCCAAGCCCGCCCTTCGCCAGAGCTTGACCTGGAATGATGCCCTCTACACAATGAAAACTCCATTAATAATCTGTAAGAATTGGGCTGGAATTCATCTCAGGAGCCCTAGCTGATGGTATCCAAATACCATCTGTGATTTTTAATGAGTCTTAGGGAGTCCTTTCCTCCAGTGTGGCTACTGGAACACCTCAGGCTCCACCGTTTCTGGCCCGTTGGGGGCCCAGACACAATAGGTCCTGGAGGACTATAGGTTGAGTTCCCCTGGAGAAGCTGCTAACCTTCCAGCGCCCAGCACCAACAATCAGCAGAACCACCCTTTTCTGGAACAAAGGCAGAAATAACCCCACTGAGACCTTCCCCTGGAATCAGACCTCCAATTCAGATCCCCACTGGAGGACATACTGCCAGGCACTTTGAGGTCTACACTTTCCCTTCCAGCTAAAAATAGCTCTTTAAAGAGCAAACTCTTCTAATCTCAAAAGTTGTACTCTGCAGCTGTGACCTCTTGGAATTCATTGGGGCATATGCAGAGTAAGGCAGTGAAGCACATTTTCTAAGTGGGACTCTGAAAATGCACTTTGGAAAAATGCGCATTTATATACAGCATAGTTGCAATGTTATCTTGGCTATCTTCATGTACCTGGTTTTTCATGTTCTCAAAAAGTTTAAAGAAGAAAAACAAGCCTTAGGGCACCCATATCTGAGGCTGAAGGGTCCAAGTAGAGCAAGGGAAGCTTTGTCTCCACCCTTTAGGATTCAAGAGGCCATCCTCAAATTGATCCCCACTCGTACATGAGCTCCCAGGCCCTTCCAAGCTGGAGTGTGGAGCTGGAGTAAATGTTGCCTGCCTCTCCCCAGATGCCCAGGTACAACACTGTCAGGGCTGAACTTGGAATATGACCTTTGGGAAAAAATGAGAAAGAATCAGGCCAGCTTTGGGATATACCAAGTTCTCTTTTCTAAACCTTTCTTCAGAAACATTCTGCCTCTAGTGCCATTTAGCCTTAAAAATTACTGCTTATGAAATAGAGAGACGATCAAGGACCTTAAAATCTCTGTCTGAATGGGACTGATTATTTAAGAAAAGCACCACAGGCACCTAGTAATGGGAACTGGTCTGACACTTTGTTCTGTGACAGAGGGTGCCAAAGAGCTTTTTATGGTAATGACCTGAGACCTTCTGCCCAGACATTCGACTCTTACTGATCCTATGAGACACTTGGCCCGAGATATGGAACATCAGTGGATTGTCATTTTTTGTACCTTTGCTAGAGTTTTCATTTCCTGTAGTACTCAATTAGAAAAGGGCACTAAGCCAGGTAAAACTTATCATTGTTTCTGCTAAACCTCTCCAATTTTAATGACACAATATTGGGGGGTAGGAGGTAATAGGAGACAAAGATGGCTCATTTCCCCCTCCTTCTTCCCTATCATTTGCTTTAAAGAGAAGTAAAAATAATAAGGACATGATTTTCAGACATTCTTCTGATTAAAGTGTTACCCCACTCTAAAATACACTCTTAGAATACATCAGCAATCGGCCTTCCCAGGATAGGACAAAAGCATATCCTTAAGGAGTACAGAATTTGTGGCAATTCTTTTTCAGACATTGCTCTGAAAAGTTTACGTTAAGAATTGTTTTGGAGGGGTGCCTGGGTGGATCCCAGGGCCCAGGGATCTGAGCCCAGCATAAGGCTCTCTGCTCAGCAGAGAGCCTGCTTCCTCTTCTCTCTCTCTCTCTGCCTGCCTCTCTGCCTACTTGTGATCTCTATCTGTCAAATAAATAAATACAATCTTTAAAAAAGAAAAAGAATTGTTTTGGAAATCACTCTCTAAATTTTGTATGTGGTGCAACTTAATACACATGTAAATTTAGCATCAAGTATAACCATGGTAAAAAAACAATCCTCTGCCCTCTTTTTTCCTAATTCCACCTGATCCAATCTGAAATGAATAGAATAAAGCAATATATATTCTTCTCCAAGAAATATGTCTTTTAAAAGAATTAAAATAAGCTAACAAAAGGAAACAGTGATATTAAACAATTTTCCTGATAATTAAAACCAAGAAAAAATAAAATTAGAATTCATCTGAGATATACTGATAATTCAGTTAACTCTAATTAGCTGTTTGGTTTGGTTTGGTTTGGTTTGGTTTGGTTCAATTAGATGACTCTTTTTCTAAGGGGGAAAGAAAGGGCAGAAGTTGAAAGTTTGAATTATCTTGGAGCTGGGGGAAAAAAACAGATTAACTTTGAGTTCTACAAAACTCTGTCCTAAAATGAACCTGTCTTAAAATGTATAAATACCATCATCTTTTACCCAAATCCAAATAAAAACAGAAAACGGTCGTTATGAAGCCCCCAGCTGTGGTCTTG